CTTGCTCTGATTGAAATGTGATGACAGACGAGCAGCTTTCTGAGGAAGAGACCTCACGTGTTCAGCTTGAAGACTTCACACTGAAACAACGTGGTCTAAACCTTCAGACGGATCTGATCTCTTATTGTTGGAGCTAAAGTTTTTATTTTCTTTCAGTTCTGCCTGAGACCTGTGTAAACTATGGTTTTTACGCTGAGTGTAATTCTACCACTGGCCACTAGGTGGAGTCTTGGTTTGTGTATTCAGACATGCTTCCAGGTGTGAATGGAGGCCAACTGTTTTTGCCCATGTTGGTGGATGGTGGGGTTCAGTGTACCTGGACTTTACCTGGATTATTGGAATCCATTTGTTACTCAAAATAAATAAATCGACAAATCCAAACATCATCCAGCTCACACCTCCGTGGTGACTTCATGGTTTTGCTAAAATCTGGTATTTGAAATCCGGTGCTTTGTCCGTCTTTCTTCTCAACAGAATAAACAAACTGAAGTCCAAATGTTTGAGCAGAAGGAGATTGTTTTCCACGTCAGTGTGGTGTGATGTCGAGATACCAAAATGTTGACTTTGTTATGATACCTGCCCAAAATAATATCTGAATAATGGTACTGAAACGATACGAAAAAAAACGCAGCCTCCTGCCACTAGATGGTGCTGTGGTCAGAGACTGTCTGTAGCTGTGGTTGATGCTCTCCTCGCTCTGTTACCCTGATGTAAACAAACACAGTGAACAGATGAACCTGTTCGAGGTCGTCTGTGAGGCCCCGCATGCTCCCTGAAGTCTATCTCCCCGACTTCCCATCCCATAGTCGTTTCACCACTCAGGAGGACGCTGCAGTGACTTAACTACGGTGCGCTCAAAGGGACAAAATAGCACGCGATGAAAAACTCATTATGCCTCAGTTTCAGATCTCATCGCCCTGATGATCATGATCTGATTTATATCTTTACATTGAAGACAGTCCTACAGGTCTGCTCTCCGTCCCCAGAGTCAGAACCAAACATGGAGAAGCAGCGTTCAGTTTCTATGCTCCTATATCTATAACAAACTCCCAGAAAACTGCAGGTCTGCTGAAACTCTCAGCTCTTTAAATCCAGGTTGAAGACTCACCTGTTTACAGCTGCCTTTCATTAAACAGCTTTAATAAGATTTTACATTTTAACTCTGCACTTTTAACTCTTTTTATATTTTTATTTCAATTTCATTTGAATTATTTTTATTTGAACATGTTTTCAGATTTAATAATTCCAGTGATTTGTAAATGTTCTATTTTAATGTTTCTTTTCTTTCCTCTGTCATGATACTTTTGATGTCTTGTGTGAAGCACTTTGCCTTGTTGTTGAAATGTGCTATATGAGTAAACTTCCTTGCCTTTAAAATAAATCCAATCCTTCATATTTCTGAGCGTCCTGTGAAGGAGGTCTATAAATAGTGTGTACAGTAGAGGACTGAGTGCTGCTCTGTCGTTCGTGTGTGGGTGAGGAGGTCTGAGTATCGCTGAGCCGGCAGGAAGCGTGGGGAGTAAACAAAAGCTCCGCTCCATATCAGCGCTCACAGACTGAAATATCAGCGGCCGGCCGTCAGCTGATGAATCACCTCTGTCCACCATCTCACATCACAATAGACGGCGTGCGATGAGCGAGCCCCCGAGGCGAAGTGGAGGAGGGAGGCGAGGACGCTCCTGATTTAAACATCAGTGTAATAGAGAACAAGCGTCCAATCAGAACGCAGACAAACCCAACGTGTGTTCATCGGTTTCACTGAGAGTCTCTGTGACTCATGTTGACTGATTGTTTGTGACAGCAGGAGAGACACTTTTACACACTTATCAACAGTTTAACACAAACATCGCTCCTTTTCTTCTGTCACTGGCGGCCATCTTTACTGTGAGAACTGATCAAAGACTCGTCTGAAGGGGGGGTCTCCCTGATGAGCAGAAATCTGAGAGTCAGTAGTTCAAGCAGTCGAGATAAAAACATAAAACATGGACGTCCTGTAGAATCTGCTGGTAGGTCTTTGATTGTATATTTAAAAACCTTTAAGGACTCTGTAACAGATTGCAGGCTGAGGGAGCAGAACATCCAGAGTGTTTGTGTCAGAGAGCATGACGAGGTCCTGAGGACACAAAGAATACAGGGCGGTTCTTCACTGTGTGATAAAAACACAGAGGTAGAGAGGAAGACTGGACTCCACACAATAAGACTCAGTTGACATCAGATGAATACTCATGAGGAGACATGATTCAACATCACACTTCTGTACTCGTGTCTTACTCAGCACATCTCCAGAACTCCTCGAGAGGCATCGCCTATATCCAAAAAGACATTATCATTATCAGGGTCACATTGACCCACCTAGACTAAACTGTGACGTCTATAATTTAAAGCTCATATCAATAATCTGGTCACTGAACTTCGCATGAAGCTTGGGTTCTTTTTTAGAAATAGAAGCTGCTTCTCTCTCAGGGTCAGAAATAAATTAGTGACAGCGACCTTCTTGCCCATTCTTGATTATGGGGACGTGCTTTATTTGAGTGCGTCATCCAAATGTCTCAAGTCCTTGGACACTATTTTTCATTCGGCACTGAGTTTATTTGTCACTGGCTGTAGTCGTCTCACCCACCATTATGAAGTCGTATTGAAATCCAACTTGCCTTCTTTGAGTGCACGCAGATACGCACATTGGCTGACCCTAATTGATAAGGCTCTTTTAGGCTTGATTCCTTTATATTTGTGAGCTTTATTACGGAGAACAAGCAGTCGCTGTGCCTTGTGTTCTTGTACTACACTTGTTCTATCTGTTCCTCGGGTAAGGACTGAATCAGGAAAAAGAGCTTTCAGCTTTGCTGCCCCCTCGGCATGGAATACTCTACAGACTGAACTAAAACTCCCTGAACTTATTCCACTTGGAGCGTGCCGTTCTATCTTGAGGGACAGACGGCGTGAGACCATTGAACAGTGCCTGTGTTTTTAAAATCTTAAATCGTTGTTTTATTGTTGTGTCACAGCTCCCACACTTGTTAATCTGTACTGTCACTTCATTGTAACTGTTCTTTGACGTGCTGCTGACCTCTTGGCCAGGTCACCCTTGTGAAAGAGATCCTGATCTCAATGGGTTCTTTATCTGGTTAAATAAAGGTTAAATAAATAATAAAAAAATAACACTGGAGCAGATGATAAGTCCTTCAGATATGAGGAAAGACAGTTCACCCTCTCTAAGCTGTCCTTGGTTTCTAATAACTGAACTCTGTCAGGTCTGATATTAGAGAACAGTGAATAAACATAATGACCTCTGTACTTTAGAATCTAAATAACTACAGAGATTCCACCACAGAAGAAGACCAAGAACGACCTCAGACAGTATATAAAGATGTATGAAGCAACATGTCGCCAGAACACGCCGTCCTACCTGAGAGTACGACTCACACTGAGTCTTTACAGTTTGTAAAGAACCCCGAGGACGTTACAGCCTCCATTTTATTATTCTTTAAAAATCCTCAAGCCTCCACTTCCTGTAACAGGCTGACTTTAAATCTTCTTCTTTTTGTGAGAACTTCAAACTGTGACTGAAGACAGAACTCCGGTGTTTCGTCTAGATCAATTCAGATCTTTTAATTATTTATTTTAATTATAATAATATAATAATAAAGTTTATTTATAAAACACTTATCCAAACCAACGTCACAAAGTGCTTTACAGATAAAAGAAAAATCCCAACTGTCAAAACACAAGAAACAGACATAAGACAACCTGATGAAATATAAAACTCACTGATCGTTAAGAAGTTTCAATCAAATGGTATAAATAAATAAATATGATAAATATAAATGCAGTAAGGATTTAAAGAAGATTAATATGAAACTTTAAATCTGTTTGACGAGTGGTGTGGACTCAGAGGTCTCAGTGACCTCCCCAGCGGAGCCCCGCCCTCCTGCAGTCTTTGTCAAAGTGTTCCTGATGATCGGTCCTGAACAGTTGTCACTGTTTTCACCGCTCTGACTTCAAAACATGGTCTCAATGTTTTCCTCTGATGATCTCCGTGACGACGCTCTGTGTTTTCTTTCTGTGTTTTTTTGTAGGGCGGCGTGAGCCCGAGGAGTCCCGCAGGGATCTAAAAGAGAAGAATCCAGAGTCCCCGCGGAGCTCACGGACCCCGGACTGGGACTTCTCACGGACCTGAAGGGACCGCTTTGACCTCCTGTGGTGAACTTCACACATCGGCGTGAGCTTCTGAGCGGACGCTGCCTCATCAAACATCAGAGGTCGTTTGTTTGATCCTCGGGTCTTTGTTTGTTTCTGTTGGACTCGAGACCAGGAGGTGATGATGGAGGAGGGTTTCTGTGGAGGGAGCTGAGATGGTGGAGGATCTGAACGGATGTTTGCTGAAGGAGTTCATCATGGCTGTGAGCGACGTCTCTCCTCAGACACTGACTTCAAAACATCTCCATGCTTTGGAGGCGAACAGGACGGAGATTTTCGGCAGGAATATATTTCAGTTTTTTGGGGCTAAATCATTTTTTTTAACCACTCGGTATCTCTGAACGTCATGACGACTGATTTTTAAAACTTTTTTCACCTTTTTCACCTGAATGTTTCTGCTGTAAAACAAACTGTTAGGTTCACTTTGTCTCCTCTGATTGGACAGAATCTGTGTGATGCTCACACTCAGTCGTTCTGGTCACCTTTTTAAGGTCATCAGACCTTTAGTGATTAGCATGCTAACAGGAGCCACAGGGACGCTGCATTTCATCGATGTCTTCACCAGCTCGATGGACACCGTACCTGCAGGATGGTTTCACCTTTCAGACATGTGACGGAGACACTTAATCAGAATCAGAATCAGAATCAGAATCAGGGTTCATTGCCAAGTACATTTACTTGGAATTTAGGAATTTGACTTGGTGTATTGGTGCTAAACAATTAACAAGGAAATAAAGCAGAACTAACAACAACTTAAATAATACAGAATAAGATGTTACAATATATAAAATAGAATTTAAAAATGTAAATGTACAAAAGGTGCAATGTAGGAGCTGTACAGTGGACTATGAGAAGTCTAATCTTATCTGAACTCTAATCTGCAGGAAGTGAAGCCTAACGGGCTCAGTCCTCTTGAAGCCGATTGGTCGACCAGCACAGATTTGATATCTGTAACAGATTTCTTCAGACTTCAGGTGAAGCGTCTGACGCAGAGCCTCTTCTTCATGTTTCATACCCTCCCTCTCTGATCACAGCCCTGCAGAGAGCTTTAACACTTCTAATGGACTTGTTTTTATCTCTTGATGAGATTCCTCTGGCGTTCTGATCCTGGAGTCTTCATCACAGTCTGGTAACAGGACTTCATCTGTCCCAGCCTGCTCGTCTGAATCTGTCTCTTCCTGCCTCGGGGGGCGGGGGGGGGGGGCCTCTCAGCTCGTCCCGTCACTGCCATGGTGATGTCACAGGGCACCTACACCTTCCTGGCCTGTTTCGCCGGCTTCTGGTTGGTCTGGGCCGTGGTGGTCATGCTCTGCTGTTTCTGCAGCTTCCTGCAGCGCCGGCTGAAGCGGCGTCAGGAGGAGCGTCTGAGGGAGCAGTGTCTGAGGAGCGTGGAGATGGAGCCGCTCAGCTGTCACCCTGCAGGATACCCGTCTGTCCCTCCTCCTCCTGCTCCTCCTCCTCCTCCTCCCACACAGCTGCCCAGGGAGCCCCCACAGTTCTGCCCCCCTCAGACTCTGTCTCCCCCCGTTCCTCTGCAGGTTCCTCATCCCATGCCGCAGGCTAACTGGGTCACCATGCCAGGTAACACCTTCTTATGTTTGGTGTTTTGTTTTCATGCTCGGTGACTTTTCCTCCTCCAGGTTGGACAGCTCGATGAGATGACAACATCTGACATCCTCACTTTGTGTCCTGCATTTAGTAAGCTCTCTAAAGAGCAGGGGGCGCTGTGCTAACACTCAGCTGGGTCACTTTCTATCTCACCATGGAACAGCAGCGTGTAGACAAACTGAAGGTCCAGGTTCAAATTAATCAGAGTGAACAAACTACCTGTTTTATTTAAAACAATTAACAAAGAAGACCTTTAAAGGCTTTATATGTGATTTTTTGATCCAGCAGATGTCGCCCTTGAGCACCAGCATGAAACCAAAACAACTAGCGCTGCATTGTTGTGTTAGCATGCTAATGCTAGCGATCTTTATTATGCTGGTATCTTCACACTGCATGTAAATTTACCTGAAATGAGCGTGATCTAGAAACACAGTTAAGCAGTGAGTACAGTATGTTATTCTTCTTTTCTCTAGTCCCTCAATTAAACAACTTTTATACACGAGGGGAGGAGTCAGCCAGCCGTCCTGGCGATGTAAACAAAGTGAAGATAGGACTCTGAAAACTCTGAAAACATCACAGACAGTGGGACTCGGGTGTTACACCCATTGTAGACAGTCATGACTCACAGAGTTATTTTCAGAGGAGATACTTGATTTCTACATTTAAGTGTGAACAATCACAGATAAAGACTTTAAACATCTCATCAACTTTAAATCTGCAGCGTTTTAAGGTGTCGTCAGAAACGAGACGTCCTCTTCTCTTCTGCAGGATGTGTGTTTATGTTTGACAGAATGAGCTCTCCTTTTATTTCCATCTTCTGATAAGACTGTTGGTCAGGTCTCTCACCTTGGCAGGTAGCTCTCAGTGTGTGTTTCTTAGGGTGCAGCACCCCAAGGTGATGTTTGCACACCAACTACCATCTTCCTCATCACAGCAGATCTGGCGTTGGCTGACCCTCTCTCCACATAAGCTCCTCCCTCCTGCCCATATATGGTCACAATATGGTCACTACTTGATCATCTTGTACCTCAGCGTGAACAGACGCTGACGTGTTTTCAGCTCTTGAATGCTCTCCTTCCTGTGAGTCAGGGACGAGCAGAAAGAAAGCAAACTAAGAGAGAGGATTTCATTCTGCTCTGTGTCAGATAGATTTTCATTACACTCTCTCTTCCTCCTCCTACTGCCCGGGCAGCGTTCCCCCGCCAGGCGTCATGGTGACAGCTGCTGCTGAGGCGTGGGCGGTGACAAAGAGAGTAAGAACCCGGCTGAGAAAGAGACTCAGAATGACAGCAGAGTGAAGAGTCAGCAAGAGAACAGCTGATCATTAGAAGATCACAGTAATCACTCGTCTGTGAAGACCTCCAGTTTGATATGTCACAGGGTCACGCAGGAACGCCAAAGATTGAAGGAGTTATCTGAATCACTTTGAGGCAGAGTGAGGGAACGCGCGAGGAGCTGTAAACTTCCTGCTTGTTGTGCTGACTTGTTTCTATTTCAGGGTCAACTGTCATTTGACCTCAAAGGTTCCTGAACAAGCTGAGTGGGACACCTTTCAAGTGTTAGAGACACTTTGTGTGATTATTAAAGATCCAGAGAAAACTTTACTCTACAGACTGATGGAGAGGTTCAGTATCTAAGCAGCAGCAGAGAGAGAGAGACCAGAGAGAGAGAGAGAGAGAGAGAGAGAGAGGGACGGGGAACCTGATCCAACACAGACAAACTCTGAATAAGTCTTCAGCAGATTAAAGATCATTTCTGTTTTTATTATTATTATTTTGAGCTGAGTGTTTGACTGATGCTCGTGTCTTTGATTACCTGTCGCTGACATTGAAAGCTCTGAATCACACCTCTTTCTTAGAAAGAAAGGATGAAGAGTTTAACCTCTGCTGCAGAAAAGTCAAGCCAATGAGGAAGTCTGCACATGAAGGGGGGACTTCGACCCTATGTAGACTAAAACTCTGACATATTCTTATCTACGAGTCCATCTTTGGTCTACTTCTTTTATGACCTCTGACCTCCATCAGTCAGAACAGGGACTCTCTGCTGTCTTACCGTCTGTTCCATAAGCCAATGGTTAGTGCTAAAGCCCCATGGACAGAGACATAGACCCTCCAAGAGGACAGCCTAGGGTTAGGGTTAGGGGACATGTTTGTGTCAGGATCCGAGGGTAATCTCTCTCTCCTCGATTTCTGACTCTACCTGCAGTCTGCGTCTTTTAGATCCATTTTTGAGGAGGTGCACATCAGGCTGCAAACTTACAGCACATGTGTAGCGTAGAATCAGGGCGACACAAACCTATCGACCCAGAAGTAAAATCGGGTCTTAGATTATCAAGATAAGAACATGAAAACATTCAGGGAAAATGTAAAGGTGGACTTTGACTTTATGACACAAAACTAAAAATTATAAGACTAAATATTTATTTAGTTTTTTGTTCTGGCACACACCGGGTTCCTTTTGATACTACAGTATCTCAGATTACTCATCTAATTTCTTACTGTAGGACAAACTGTATCCTGAGTGTGTGTGTGTGTGTGTGTGTGTGTGTGTGTGTGTTTAAGTGTATGATGTTTATTTAAAGGCGTTCTGGCAGCTGCTCGTGTTGTTTACAGGTCAGAGACTCTGATCCTGCAGGTATCTGTGAGGTATGCTGGAGGAGTGATGGACTCTGGCCAGGAATCCAAATACACACCCAAATACACACATTTGCATCTATAAATACATCCGTCTCCATGGCAACGGTTCAACAAACAGCTGTTAATCTACGAGGTTTGTTGTGGGTGAAGCAGGTCTGATTGTCGAAGTTTCTTAAGATGCCCTGTGAGGTGATTTCAGATCCGATCAGTGGAGTGTCAGTGTGTTTAATATTGAGTCGGGGGAACCCTGAGGGACTCCGAGCACGCTGTCTGTGGTCACATGATCAAACGATGGCTTTTAGTGAAGTGAGCTTTCTGAAGAAAGAACAACAACCAAAGCAAATCAACATTTCCTCACCTCCAGCTCGCTCTGTGACATGTTCAACAACTATCCAGAGTCTTTTCTTCCAGAACTTTCAGTAAAACATTTTATCAAAGTGTTTTGGTTTAAATCTCAGCTCCTCTTCAGCCCCTCTTTCATGTGGAGTCCCCCAAGGCTCCATACTTGGTGCCTATCCTCTTCTCCCTGAATATGGTTCCTCTGGGGTCAGTTCTTACAAAGTATGGAGTGTCTTTCCTTTTCTATGCCGATGACCCACAGCTTTACATGTAAAGCGTAAATAATATAATAATAAAGACACAGTGTATGTCAGGCACTAACAGACAACCAGCAGCATCCACCTGCTATCAAAGGGACCACACCCCAAATGATGCTGGACTTAAAGCCTTAATAAAACAAAATTAGATTTCAGTTTGTAGTTACCAACTGGTGTGTACATTACGATGAGCTGCAAACTGCTTGTGCACGACATACTCTCACATTGTTCAACAATGTGCTGAACTTAGCACCAAGTCTTCATAAATCCTGTTTAACGTTAACAGAGTTAACACAGTTACCAGAAAAGATAAATTCACCTAAAAGGAAGCGGCTGCTATAACTTTCAGCAACATTTGGACGTGTTTAAAGCACTTTCTCCCTGCCTCTCGTCTGTTTCCAGTTATCGCTCTGCTGTAAACAAACGAGCCAACAGAAAGAGACACAAGAACAGAAAGCTCACATTGTGCAGAAGGAGAAACACACCTACTTTGAAGCACAAAGAAAGCCTTGGCTTGACTCCTGCTGAAAACAAATCTGGTACATTCTCAGTCGACGTGGCTCTTCTTGCCAAATTCAGGCCAAACTCCAGCAGTCTGAAAACACTGCCTCCTCCTGCCCACACAGCAGACACTCAGTCTGTAGTTTCCTGTATGATGACACTCATCTCTCCGTCCATTTTCTTCCTATTATCTGAAGTCGGGTCGAGGTGGAAGCAGGTGAAATAAGTCAACACAGACTTCCCCCTCCACACCAGCATTTTCCAGCTCCAGCTCTGTCCTCCCCTGCTGGATCAGCTGATCCCGTCTCTCCTCTGTAAACGCTTCTGAAGACGGGACAGAGGGGGGGGGGGGTCACTTTGTCCCCCATTACGCCTCCATGACATTCAGACTGAAGAAGAAACGTCTCAGGGGCGTAAATATCGCAGCTTGAAACAGCAGTCTGAACAACTGACAAAAACGATGCTGAGAAGCTCTCATAACGTCCGTCCTGTGAACGACCTGATTGTTCTCGGACCGCTCCTCTTCCATGTTAACTTATTTTTTTATTAGGTGAAATAGAGGGACAAACTGGTGACATATACATAACAAATGAGGCACAAAAAAACAGACAAGGTCAGGACAACAACTCCAAAATACAGTAAAAAATAAAATAAAATAAAAAAAATAAAGACAGCAAAATACTAAGACATCAACAGACACACATCAGTATTCATCAAATATTGTTAACATGTTAACTTCTTACATAGTTTAGGGAGTGCAGATGTTTGTGCAGGATGTAAGTGAGGTCATCACGTTGGTTTTGATCATCTTAATAAACCAGCTGATTTCAAATCAAGCTCACGTGACTGAGCTGCAGTGAAAAGAGATCCCAGGTGACAGAGCTGTTTTTAGGGTATTTTAAACTTCTGATTGGGAAAGAGCAGAGACACAGTGAGGAAGTCAGAGAGAGGACGATGTGTTTGTCAAACATGAAGTTTCTAAAGTGGGATGAATTCTGTGATTTAAAAAAAAACACCTGCTCAACAGTTTCACATTCAGTCAGTTTTTTTAAATATGAACTGCCAACTTCAACAAGCTGAAAGCTGTCACAGTTTATCATTTCTTAACAGGAAAGAGAATCAGTGATATGGTGAAGTAGCTGTGTAGGGATTAGTTCACACCATGTTCCCATGTGGTCCTCTTAGACTATCATGACCTGCTGTGACTAAAAATCATTCAGATCAGTGTTCATAAAGAGACCTCTCCTGCCTGCTGTCACATCTGAATCAATGTGAGAGGTCGTTATGTGCTTCTGTGTTCTGTTTCCAAAGATGCCGCGTTGCTATGACTCTGATATTAAGAAGTCTTCAGAGAGAAACAGAAATAGAGAAAACTGATAATGTGCTGTGATGGTTTCTGTTCCCACAGCCGAACACACTGTCACACATCACACAGCAGGACGCTGTTGATTACAACGTGTGGGTTGAGACCTGAAGCATATCTGTTTACACACACACACACACACACACACACACACACACACACACACACACACACTCTGAAGCTATGCTAACAGGCCCTATGGAGAAAGATGATAATGGAGAAAAAATATAAATATAGCGGCGAGACGGCTGCTGCCGACAGGCGGGTGTTGTGTTTTGGCTGTTGTGGCTGCTGGCTTATATTTCTCCTGCTATATTGTATATTTTGGAGAAACTGTAACGATCGGATTTCCCTCTGGGATTAATAAAGTATTTCTGATTCTGAACTAGAGGACCTTAGTGGGAGTGACCTGTGGTGCTGTGCATTCTGGGATTTGGTGTCTTTCATCAACATGAGCCAAAAAGACACTTTCTGCTTTTCTCGGTCAAGAAGGCTCCAACTTCAAAATGTATTTCACATTTCTACACATATGACCCAATGTCAATACAGATTCATGTTTCAACGGTGAAGTATCCCTTTAAAGGATGTGAAAATGAAGATAATGAGATATAAAAACACAAAGATAGTGCTGTGTGGCTTGATTCACTGTAGAGTTACGCAGCTTTAACGCGGTTGGGTAATGGGGAAATGCATTCTGGGATACTTTAAAAGTAAAAGTTGTCAGCAAAGTAAAATGTTTGTGTGTGGTTTTATTCATCACCATTTCCTGTTTGTCTTTCCAGACACAGATGTATTTGGAAGGCCGCCCTGCTACGAGGAGGCGGTCCTGATGGAAGACCCCCCCCCACCGTACAGTGAGGTCTTGGCCGATCCACGAGGGGGCACCTACGTAAAGCCAGCCCCGCTCCGAGCTGCTCCGGCTCCGCCTCCTCCCAGAGACCACCTGGATCCTGCTCCAGTCTTCACCTCCGAGATCAGCAAGCCTCCAGTGATGGCCGTGTTCCCCGAGCGAGGTTACTCCTCCCTGATCCGCCTCCCGTCATCGCAGCGCTGGGACTCCCTGGGTCACCTCCTCTCCAACATGGACCTGAACCACCACAACCTGACCCCGCCTGGCGCTCGCTCCGTTCAGGCTGCAGCCGCCATGGCGACCATGCCTCGCCGAGTGCCCAGGACTCACCACCAAGGTGAACTACGAGGTGGACTACAAGGACTACCAGGAAGTATACAGGGGATTCCAGGAAGGATTCAAGGACTCCAAGGGGGGATACAGGGTTTCCAAGGAGGGTTACAGGGGCTTCAGGGGGTCCATAGACTGAGGGGACTGGAGCCCAGCTGTGGCCTGCCCACAGCCTATCCTCTGCTGGGCCGAAGCACTGCAGTCTGAACCAGACCCCCTTTAAGATGGTCCACAGGAGGTCTCTAACAGGATCTCTGTCTGCTGAACACTGAAGAGGTTTAAAGAGATAAACAACAGTGACAGAGCTGCAAAGGCTCCAGGAGCTCAGCTCCCCGTGCAGCTCTGTGGGCGAGGAGCGCCTCTTTTAACTGTGGAGGTCAAAGAGCAGAGACTCAGATTCAGACTCAGACCGGTCTCAGAGTCATGTGGAGGATAAACCCGGTCGCAGTGTTTTCTGGAAACGCAGAAGAAGAAAGGACGAGCAACAAGCAGCTGTTTCTCTCCTTTCACCCGGACTTTGGTCTTTATTTTCATCTTTCCATGACGACGCCCTCAGTCTATCCTCTTCACCCCCCCTCCCCCTTTCCTCTCTGAGCAGCCTTTTGTACCAGTCTGCCGTTGCCATGGCTCCCGGGAACTGTCAGTTCTCCTCGACGACCTCTCCTCCTGTAGCTGCTCGGATTATTTTGAGGACTGTGTTCACAGCTCGTCTTCTCTCGAGGAGCGTGAGCGTGGTCGCACATGGTGACCTTCAGTGTCATCGCGGTGACCTTCAGTGTCATCGCGGTGACCTTCAGTGTCATCGCGGTGACCTTCAGTGTCATCGTGTTCATCGTCTCTTCAGAGGATGGTAATCTAAGAAACAAGAGTCGAGCCTGATGAGCAACAAAGGGAACCAAATGAACGAGTACTGACTTTTATAACACGCTGTTTGTTGTTATAAAATCTTTATTTAAAACTGTATCAGCTCGCCCCCTAGTGGTCAGTCTGAAAGTTATTTTTTTCATGTTTACGTTTATTATCAAACCTTCAGCTTTGTGAGAAATCTTTTCTTTTGTGAAATAAAAACTTCTTCCTATTTGCTGAGAACTTGCCCGTCGTGAGCAGCAAATAGACGTTTCATTTTGGGTCCTTCTTCACGGGCGTCGAGCACAAATCTCAGTCAAAGCCATTTATTAACTCAGCGCCTTCAGAAGTCAGAGCAACGACTTCCCCTCAACAACGTCTTCACATCTTTGTTTCCTCTTGGAGGGTCGTCTGTGTTCTTCTTTTTTGGTTCTTTTTGTCTGCTTTGCTTTTTACCCACTTTGTGCCGATTAATCTGAGGTAGAGAGGTCACAGAGAGGTCACAGAGAGGTCAGAGATATAACTTTAGCCACGCCTCCATCACACCAATGAGCCAGTTACAGATTCACATGAAGTTTGTCAAGATGTACGATGTGAACTCAGATTTAAACGTTCTGAAAGCTAGCCGTCTTTCTGTGCAGACCTCTCTCTCTCTCTCTCTGGGAGGACTGAAGGTTTCACTTCCACTCGCTGCACAATCACAAGTCTGAAAGACGAAAGGGACGGAAACAAAAACTCCTGATTAGTAAAGAAAACAAAGAACACATATTAAATCTCTACTGAACACGCGAGATGAAGAAACTCTTCATCAGGGCGGACATGTTTGTTTTATGATTGTATTACTTCTGAATGTGTTTGTGTGAAGAAGATGACAATCATCAGAGACTTTAAACATTTTAAACATGAGAACTCTGTTTTCTAATTTCTCTGTTGTTATTAAAATGAATCC